GCTGCAGGGAAAACCAAGTTAGCATCTGATAACGTGGCCTAAGTCAGAACTGATGAGAACTGGGGTCTCCATCATGTGGAGTGTGACCCGGCCTGCAGAGCACAGCACTCACACATGGCCCAGGCTGACCCGGACCAGGCACAAGCAGGAGCACTTCAATGGACTGGGGCTCTACCTGCCAGCAAAGCATCTTCTCTAGACAGCACCCTTTCCAGTAAGAATCTTACTCTCCAATTACTCCCTGTAATTCAGGCTCTATTCTGCTTTTACCCTGTATACGTCTGTGTATCACTGGGCTGTACCCCTGGGTACACTGTGACCATGCCTACCTACACACAATCTCTTTACACGTATAAAGTGGATGTCGTGGAAGCAGTCACAGCTGAACCAAACAAAACACGTATTCTCTGTAGCTCCATCAGTCACAGGCAGTCCCAGAACCAGAACAGACCTTCCTTCCAACCCCCTGCCTCGACACGGCATCCCAGGGCTCTGCCCTCCAGCTCAACAGGATCTGCACAGACAAACCATTCACAGAACCTTTTCAATTGCAACAAGGGATGTCTCAGCTCTCAGCATCTCAGGGGTGACTTCAGGGAGCCACAGCCAAAACTCCAGCAGCTGGAAAGGTATTTCCGATTTCTAATCTCATTCAAAGCCACCCTTGAGTCAGTCTCCTATTTAAAGGTCATTTCAAAGCCCCTCAATTTAAGCACATTCTAATTCTAAGGGTGGTTGCCACTGCCTCCTGTCTGAGCAGTTGCAGCCTCTGCTCTGCTTGTCTCCTTGCTTAGTTTCCTGGCCATGTGTGACAAAGGCAACCTCCTTCAGGCCATCCCAACACAACTAGTAGCTGATGTACTGGAAAAGGTCAAAAAAGGATGTGTCCTTGCCAGGGTCTGAGAGTGCCATGGGCTGGGCAAGGATAGGACAGGAGCAGCAGGGCCATGCCACCCATTGCCATTCACTCACTGCCATCCTCACCAGCTCTCAGCTCCAAGGCCATCATGCAGATGGCACAGCAAAGCTCACAGGTCCCAGCCACTCACTGGCTGCTCCTGTGTGTGGTCCTGTGTTCCTACATGTTGCTCTGCATCCTGCCCTGGCACACACCTCCTGCACTCCCATGGCAGCACACTCATAGATCCAGGAAAATGTCAACTGTATCCTGGGCTGCATCAACAGGAGCGTGACCAGCACGTCAAAAGAGGTGATCCTGCCCCTCTGCTCTGCTCTCATGAGACCCCACTTGCAGTACCATGTGCAGTGCTGGGGTCCTCAACATAAGAAGGACATGGAGATGCTGGAGCAAGTACAGAGGAGGCCATGAAGATGATCAGGAGCTGGAGCACCTCCCATATGGAGACAGGGTGAGAACATTGGGGCTGTTCAGCCTGGAGAAGAGAAGCTGCGTGGAGACCTCAGAGCAGCTTCCAGTATCCAGAAGGCTACAAGGATGCAAAGAGGGACTCTTCATCAGGGACTGTAGCAATAGGACAAGGGGTGATGGGTTCAAACTGAAACAGGGGAAGTTCAGGTTAGACGTAAGGCAGAAGCTCTTCCCTGTGAGGGTGCTGAGGCGCTGGCACAGGGTGCCAGAGAAGCTGTGGCTGCCCCATCCCTGGCAGTGCTCAAGGCCAAGGCTGGACACAGGGATTTGGAGCAAGCTGCTCTAGTGGAAGGTGTCCCTGCCGTGGCAAGGGTGTTGGAACTGGATGATCTTGAGGTCCTTTCCAACCCTAACTATTCTGCGATTCTATGATGTAACCCAGCTTGAGATCTAAACCACAAGACACGGCCCCAAGCCACCACAGATGGAAAAGGAGTGGCAGGAAAAAAGACCTGTGAACCCATGTCCCATCTTTCTGTATTCAGCAGTGTTTAACCTATGAGCACTCCCCCTGGAAATGGTTTTCCAGGGTAGAGCCTATATATTAACAAAATGCCTCTGCCCATGGCAACAGTGAAGCTCTGGGAATAGCCTCTGGGCAGAAGCACCAAATGCGTGATGCTCGCCAGGCTACAGGAGCTATTCCTGTGCCACAGGATGGAAGGCAACTGGGAAGCACTGGTCAGTGCCTTAATAATGCCACATTTTACAACTGAGATTCCTCAGCCTTTGAGACTGTCCCTCTGGACATGCCATTAAACCCAAGGAACTAGCAGGAATGAACAGAGTCAGAAATCACACAAAGATCACCTAGAAACCTCACTGAGCTCCCTCCAGCCCATGGGTGCTCACTGGAGCTAAACTCCTCCCCTGGCTTAGGGTGATTTCCAACATGGTTTCTTCCACAGTCCCCAGCTTCTTTTCCAACACTCCTGAGATCTCTCAGACTGAGAAACAAACCGTAAGGAAAAAGCTGAACTCACACTGGACAGGGAATGTGGGGTCCATACCTCTGTACTGGGGTACAAACCCTCAGCACTGAGGAGGAGCACAGCTATACCCAATATTCTGATATTCCCAAGGCCACAGCGTGCCTTCCCTCCTTGACAGCAGTGTCTTTGCTCCAGTGATACATTTTCCAGAGAGGCTGCTCCCTCCTAACACACACAGAGGCATGAAAAGCCCCATTTGCTCCTTTGCTTTCTGTCTACATAGTAAGAAACCACACTCTTACCTGAGCATCCACCAATCCAGCCTGATCAGTTCCCCGACCAAAACCTGTTAATCAAGCAAAATACAGCTAATAGGCAATTGACATCTCGTGGCTGCTGCGGGTCACTGCTGCTGCCTCCTCGTGTGCCCCAGCACAGGCCACACATGTGACAAACGAAGCCTCTGCCCTCCTGGAGGCAGGAGCAACGGGAACCTCTGGATCGATGGATCCAAGTCACAGAACCCCAGATTCATGTGAGAAATTGCCCTCTCTGTATCTTTGGAACCACCCATCTGGACGAACAGGGTTTGCACAGGGAAAGCCCCAGGAATGTTTGGGAGGCAGCTGGGGCCATTGCTCCATCAGGCTGGGGAAGGGAAGCGACTCCATGGACAGAAACACACCTTGCATCAGGAATGCATCTGGGCCAGGAGGTCTGGAACATCCAATTCAAAAAGCCTAGAAAGGTTTCTAGACAACAGAGGAAAAATCATTCCAAGCTCTCTGGGAAGGGGTGGGAGATGCAGATACATCACCATGATGCACCAGCTGCGAGACAAACACTTGAGAGGAGCGTGCAACCAGGAGATGTGAACGTTGCTTTGAGGAACAGCATCTACTATGGACAACACAAAGGACATGAGGGTGAATTAGCTGTATCTGAGCTTAATCAGCCTCAATACAAAGAAAGCAATCCAGGCAACAGCATCCAACTCTTTCAAACACAAATGGCTCCTACCACTTGTGGCCTCCCAAGTAAGCTTTAGCAGAGACACATCACATCATTTTTGACACTTGAACAGCTATCATATCCCACCCAAAACACTTCCAAGCCCTCAAACCAGTTATCCCGTTAACCAGCCCAGCATCATACCCCTGACAACAACTGCAACTCCCATGGAGACAGAGCAGCACCTTCTCAATGGACAACAGTTGACAGTCACTTGCATAAACATGAAGCTTAAGATGTCACTGACTTTACACCACAAGCTCTTGTGTGCTAGGCAGGAGCCACTGTGACTTCCAGTGAATCTGAGACAGAAATCCATGTAGATAAACACAGGAAAGTCAAATACCTATAGGTGGCTGATGGTGGGAATTTGCTAGCTGAGTCTAAGTCCTCCTGTATTTAATGGACTAGGGAGGTTTGAGAGAGTCAAGAGCCCCAGATGGAGTTCTAGAGAAAACTGTTACAAGGGTTCGATGATGTGATGAGACACAAAAGGTGAATATATAAATGCCAGCTCCACAACCCGTAAGAATACTCTATTTCAGAGAGGAAAAGAGAGAGAGGACTTGCTGGAAAGGTCAGGTGGGATGGTAAGAAGAATAATCTGAAGTACTCCATAACATTTCTAGGTATTATAATCATCATTACAGAATCATTACTCATCAGAAACATGATTCTAACTTGATAAAGGCTTGTTTGAAAACCCCCAGCATAAAGAAGCTATCTGAAATAAGAAGAGACCCCAGAAGGCATGTCCTGGGAAAGCAGAAGGCACTGAGCTCAAGGGGAGAGGCAGCGCCATGCAGAGCCAAGCAGAAGCAGCCCATGGCTAGGGATGCCCTGGAGAGTTCAGGCAGTGAGGGAAGCTGCAGGCACAGTTTGAGACTTGCCACTGACAAAACTCTTGAGACCTGCTGGGGAATTTAGAGAGGAAAATTTGGGCTGTCTTTGCATGCTGCTACACATACAGGCTGTGGGTGCATCACCCATGCATCTACATTGGTGGATCTGAGGATACAAAGCTATTGTCTCCTGTGGTGATGTACTAGTGTTATCAACTGTGTCAGGAACAGCTCTATGCCACACCTGCATTCAAACTGGGGACAGGGACACCCTGTAGCTACCTGGCTAGAAAACCCAGTGAGAACTAACCACTGCAGAACTCCCTGCCATTGCTGTGGTGGCAGAGGGATAATCCTCAAGCCTTTTACTTTAGTGCTGAAAAATAAGTAAGTAAATAAAATAATAAATAAAGTCTATCACAGTTAACGTCTTCCACAAGCAACACAGAAATCAGAACCTCCCTCTAACGAAAAGTAATAAGCACTGAATAAAGAGACAGGAAAATGACAGTAAATGGGTCTGGAAATCAATTCTAGGCATATCTTGCATTATCAGCTACAATTTAACTCAATTTAATCCATGCTGGAAGGCAGTAGCTCCAGTGCAAAACAGGAAGATCCCAAATTTCACCTTTGTTTAATTCTGAGGGTTGCGGGGGGGGGGTGGGGGTGGGGGTGGAAATCATCTCTACAGTGACTCAAACTGACAGTTTGGAACAAGCTACAAATAACCGAAGTCATCAAAGTACATTTAAGATAACACTGCATCTTGGCTAAGTAATTTCTTAGTTGTCCCACTAGTTGCGCCTTTGGCTTTATACTCACATGTGTGGATTTTGGAAGGGAACTCCAGAAGTGTTTAGAGTAAATCTTGCTGTGGACTTGAAAGGTGGATTTGCAAAATTTAACTTCAGCGCTTTGCGTTTACCTGGGAGACAAGAGACAAAGTGAACTTCTGGTCAGCAACAAAGCACTGAGAGCATTTGGAAATCAACAGGGAAAAAAATGATGTATTGTAAGAAAAGGAAAACGTTTCACAGTAACATTAGCAAATGCTAGCTTGGATCAGGGACACAGGGATGGAGAACTGGAGGCAGCTCCCACCATCCCATTCCAAGCCAGCTCCTCTTGGCAACATCTGAAGTACCAGCAGGTGGCTGCCAGGTCTACCATGGCACCTCTGTGCCAGGGATCCGAGCATCCTCCTCACCATCACTCCCCTGAACAGATCCATGGTTTAGGCTCAACTTCAGGCACAGTGGGAAAGGGGCCTGACCTGCTCAGCAAAGCCTGGGCATACCACCAGACCTGGGGTGGACAGTGCTGAGGAGGTGAAGGGCCACCTTGGGGTGTCTGTAGGACGGCTGACTGTCCTCAGCCTGACAGCAAACTGATGTTGCCAGGCTGAGCAGGGATGGAGGAGCCCTGCTGTGTGCTCCTTCTGCCAAGTGGTCTCCAAGCAGAAAGCACAATTCAGCCCATCAGAGGGGTGAAAGCTTTGCTCTGCAGCCAACTGAGAAAGCACAGAGGAAAGTAAATTAACAGTAGGGTGGGAGGAGTCCTGGCCACTGCTCCAGCCAGTGTATTTCTCACTGAAGTTGAGATGACCTGCTGAGCAGCAGCAGGATAAGGGACTATGAAGGGAGATGTCCATTCCCAGCCCTGTCACTGGGCTGCAGCAGACCCGTCTTGTCCCCATTTGGCAACTGGAAAGCTGCACTCCTCTCCACCAGAATGTGCCAAGATGGGGGCCTCTCCCACCCCACATTCCAGAAGCCTGCAACTGAACCCCCTTGGGGCTTCCCATTGCCTGAGTGATGTCTAAACAACTCTGCTGCTCACTTCAGGAGGCTCTGGCAGTTCAAAGCCAGCCCCATATCTGGGTTCCTACAACCACCTCCCTCTGCCTGCACCCTAACATGGGCACCAGAAGGCACCATTCTGCTCTGAAGCATTCCTCTGCCTTGCACAGAGGTTGAAGAGGTGTTTTGGGTAACTCCAAGACCAAAAAGGAAAACAGAAAACCTAGTTACAGGTCAAAGCACTTTACAGCAATTTCAGGGCACGAAATATTACAAGCATGATATAATCTTTAAGGTTGGAAAAGAACTTTAAGAACATCAAGCACAACCATTCCCCCAGCACTGCCAAGTCCACCACGAAACCATGTCACCAAGTGTCGCATTTACATGTCTGTTAAATCCCTCTGTGGATGATGACTTCACCACTGCCCTTGGCAGCCTGTTCCAAAGCTTGCAACCCTTTTGGTGAAGAAATTGTTCCTAATCTCCAATCTAAACCTCGCGGGGTGCAACTTGAGGCCATCTCCTTTTATCCTACCACTTGTGAGTTGGGAGAAAAGACTGACTCCCACCCTGCCAATGGTACCAAAAAATCATTTAGGTTGGAAAGGACCTTTAAGATCATTGTGACACCATACATCCAAAACCAGCTTGATAAACCAAACAACCCTCAGAATTAAGGACGCGCTCAAAAGAAATACACACACCCTGCAGTCTGGAAGGCACAGGAAAGCTTGCAGCCAGCAAACACCCATCTACTCCCCCAAACCTGCCACCCCTATGGGCTAAGACGGATGCTGAGTGGAAGGTTCAGGTATATTTGGGTGAACTTGTGTCCTGAGGACCACAGATGCTGCTGCAGGATATGGGTGCTGCTGCTGGAGTTACCCAATGTAGAGCACATGCAGCTCCACAGCATGACTCCAATCAGTCCCTGGTTGTTATTTCCACATAGAGTTGACCACCTACTTCCTCTGCCACACCTTGCACTTCTAAGTTCCCGGTACACACTTTCAGTTCTGATCCTAGTGCAATACAATGACCTGGAAGTATTTGCAGGGACACTGCATTTTCTAAAATACCACCTCATTATGTTACACATAAACCCCACATGAGAAACTTGTACAAGAGACAGAAGCATGAAATCCACTACCCAAAGCTTTGCATCCACCATTTTTTTGTGACAATTCAGCAGCAGATTCCATGTGCTGGGTAGCGGTGCAATGGGCATACAGCACAGGCTCACCTGGGCTGCTCCTTGTCCCCCACTCTCGGAGTGGGTCCAGGGATTTACAACGTTCACCATTCTAGTTATGTTTTACTGACACCCCTCTCCTAAGGGCAACAATACACAGTCCTGAGATTTTCCCTAACAGCAACATCTATATAAATGAGAAGAACATCTGTGTTTGAAGTGGCCCAGCAGTGAACTACAAACTCCTCTCAGAAAATCTCCTCAAAGTCTGCTCCTATACGACTATTTGCAGCTGTTACACACCGAGTTTCCTCCTGTTTTCACACTGACAGAACATGTTTTAACACAATCTATTGATTTCTATCTCCGTAGGTTCCTAAGAATAGTTTCAGTGATGTCAATCCACAACCTAGAGCTGGATTTTCTACAAATCAAACACAGAAACACAGCCTGTCCCCGGGAAGCAAACAGGATGGTTTGCTTTTGCTCAGGTGATGAACAAGGAACATGACCAGGGAGAAACAGGCATCCATGGTAAACACTCCATCCCTGGCAGTGTTCAGGGAAAGGCTGGACAGAACCTTGGGCAACACAGTTTCCGGTGAGGTGTCCCTGCCCACGGCAGAGGGTTTGGAATTAGATGATATGAAGATCCTTTCCAACCCAAACCATTCTATGATCCTGAGAAATGTCAGGAATTTCCATTCAGAAGAAGTCACATGGAAACATGAACTTTAAACAAAACAACACACTAAAACGAACTGGAAGTCCAACAAGAGTCAATGCAAGCCATCTTCTCCACTAGCCCTTCAAAAATCAACTACTTCATCTATGTGCTCTAGGTCTTCAGTTTCATCCCCAAAAAAGGCTTTTGACTGCTCCACACCCCTATATGAACTGTGGAACCTTTTTACCTTGCCCTTGTAAAATTAAAATGGGGAGGAAGGGATGTCAGGGGGCCCAATGGGTTGGATGATTTGCTTCCTTTTGGAAAGGGAACTGAATGTTTGGGGTTATCTTCTCAAGAGAAAACTATCAGGTCTTATCTCTTCCAGGGCATCTGAAAGCAAAGCTAGTACCAACTCTCACCTGAAACTTGAAACAAACACAGCAACACACATCTCTCTGCTCTTCCAACAGCTTTTACTATCCAAACTGTTAGATCTTGTCTGCTAACAAAATGCTTGCTTTGATGTAGAGACAGCAGAGGAACGTTTAGAGCTGCTGACATCCTCAGCAGGATTCACAGCTCCCCGTCTCCACCGCTGCTAGTACAGCGCTGCCTTCCCACAGGCCCTTCAAATCTACAGGATTTCAGTTGTATTTCCTTCCTTTCCAGTCTTGCTCATGGACAGACTCCAACAGCAGCACGGCTAATTTGAGAGGAAAGCAGCTTCCAGCCTTGCCCTCAAGACAAACCATTTTCCAAGAAAAAAAACTAGCCAAATTTTGGAACAAAACACAAAAAAGTTCAGCATATGGTGCAGTTGTGCTTGAGGAGTCTGAATGAAAGAAGCCTGGGAGGAATTAGTAGTTTTAAGGACAGTAACTATAGAAACTCACTTTCAAGGGTCCAAGTCTGTCCGTTACTGACATTTACTGCCATTCAAGAAAAACTGCAATTTAGTATATTCCAAGAGGCAACATCCAAATCCAAGACACCGATTCTGCAAGGCAGGAATGTACAAAATACGCTCATTTTTAGACATAACCTCATTAATATGCATATTTATACTTACTTCACCTACAGCTCCGAGAGTGCTTCCACAGTGCTACACAAGACCAGGTCAGCCAGGGCTCTGTAAGGTTACTGGCTGGTCCCTTCCTGAAACCCCTACATAGGAAAACATTTGTCCTAAACAAACTGTCAGCAGGACGTCTCACTGATGTAAGGCTGGGAGAGGACTCAGAGCTGCACAGCCGCTTCCTGCACCACCAGACACGCACCTCCATGACCTGCAATACATCATGTATGGTACATCCAGCAGCACTTGCACCAGGTTCTATAAATACCTCCACTATGATGCCTGGCTCCAGTAGGTTAGGCTTCAAGTGCAAGAAACGGCAACCAGATTAAGATTAGCTCCCTCAGGCTGGAAACTCCCAGCAGTGAAGCTGTGGCTGCCCCATGCCTGGCAGTGCTCAAGGCCAGGTTGGACACAGGGGCTTGGAGCAAGCTGCTCCAGTGGAAAGTGTCCTGCCTGTGGCAGGGGTTGGAACTGGAGGAGCTTCAAGGTCCCTTCCAATCCAAACCATTCTGTGATTTTATGACTGAGGTACTGTGACATAATCAAGTGGAGACTATGCCCAAGCATTTGGCAGAAGGAAATGGTGATGCTGCCCTGGGACATGCACTGAGACACCTGGAGCTATTCCTTACGTAAAACACGCATAAATTAAGCAAAAGGCTGTGCCAGGTACTTTTTTCATTATGAAACACCAGAGCAAGAGTTATAAAATACACTGTAGGGAGGAGAGCTGGGGAGGGGTTTGGTTGGGGGAGTTCCTATGTTTGGATTTTTTTCATTTTAGAAGTCTGTCCTCAGACCAAAAGCAAGGGGAAAAAAAATAAAAATCTGCCCTTGATGCCTTTGCTTAAGGTCAATGGAAAGGATTCAGTTTCTTTGGATAAAGCAACAAGTATGTTTCCATCATCCCTCTAGCTACCTATGCCAGAAAAGTGGCAACGTCAATCACAGCCTGCATCCCACCAGCTCTGATAAACACCACAGGCCCAGCCACCAAGAGCCCTGCAGCCATAGATGAGGAAGAAGAGCAGGAACCAGGGGACTTGGGGGGGCTTTTTCTATTTTAAGGAATAATTATTTTGGGGGAGCAACCCATTCTGCCCACATCAGTGTATTGGGTTTTTTAATTGTGAAGACCAAAAGAGACCACAAGGAGATCCTGCTGAAAGCAATAAACAGCACT